GACACAGTGACAATGTAAGTTATCTAATGAAACTATTTCGGTAGTTCCTTTAAATATACAATGGTCTCTCTGTCCTTTTTTGTGTGTTTTGAAAATGATATATTTCTTTTTTTAATTTATACTTATGATAAATTTGTAATTACTATTCAAAATCAAATATCTCACTCAACCATGATTAACTTAATATAGTATACCAATTAACTCAAGTTAGAATATAATGATTAATGAGTGTGATGGACTCTCATCCGTCAAGCTCGTGCTTGTGGATTCAATTACCAACTGTACACTGGGTTTAGTTGGAATGGTTATGCTTTGTCCTCGGTATCCAAGCTAGATTAACTTTTTTTTTTTGGTTACAATTTAGTGTACTTCCACCAATCTTTATCATAAACACCCAATAACAACTTTATATAAATTAATTAAATTATTTAAAACTAGTTAATTTTGGTAAATATTAAGATGACCTCCAATAAAGACCATTAATCAGAGAGGAGTTTGGTTAATTAGTAATTAGGAATATTAGGCGAGCAAAATTAATTCTTTAAACCAAACAACTAGATCAGAACCTACCCCATAATTAGGCCTCACATTTAGGACAAGAAAAGTAGAATGGCTTGCCCTATGATTGAAATATTTATTTAATAATGTAATATGCTGCTGGCCCTGAATTGAAATCAAACACTACTTTACATAGTTCCTTACGTATCATGTGTTTTATTCTCTCAATCTTGTCGCCACTTTGGACGATTCTTCAGTTTTATTTCTTCTCATAAATCCCACCCTTACCCATATCATCTCCTTCATTCCTCTTACAGATCCTCCTAATTTCTTAATTAATAACCACTTCATCATCAACATTCTGCCTCTGCAATGCCTTCAAACACATCACTTCGCCATGTCACTTCTGAAACAAACCTCTCCCCCAAATCTCACCTGACCTCACCCGCATCACCACGTGACACCACTGTACCTTCTTCCTCAAAGCTTCCTTCGTCTTCAAACACTGTCACAAACATTAAACTCAGAAGAAAAGGCCCTGATCTTCGAGCGTATGATCATCACCATCAGATAATAACCCAACATGAGCAGCCTTCGCTGTCTTCGGTCAGTCCGTATTACAAGGGTCTCCTTTACCAACCTCTCCCTAAGCAGAACCATCTGAACAGTGGCCATAATAATAATAATAGCAATTCTAGGGTTCCGATTTCTGAAGCCAGTCCATACTACAAAGGGCTTACAGATTTTTCACTGGCTATTCATGGAGGACAACATCTAGAATCGCAAGAAGATTATGGTTTCGGAATTCCTGAGGTTGAAGGAGCATACGAGTGTAGTCCATATTTTAGAGGCCTACTCAATGATAGCTCTCTAGCAAAAGCAATTCGTAAACTTGACGAAGGCGGTGGTGGTGGTGGACAAGGAGGATCCCGTGGGCAAGGTGGTGTTATGCCAATAAGCTTCTCGTCCTTAGGATTGAACATGAATCTATGCTTAGGTGGTAATAAGGATGAGATTTTAAACAACACTACAGCCCAGACCCAGGCGGACTTAGGAAGACAGCGTACTTTATCGCCGTTATCGCCTCCGGCACCGATACCGTTACCGTCGCCATCATTACCACTCCCACCACCGCCACTGTCTATGTTTCCTTCCAAAGGTGATTTTGATTCAGAGTTTTATATGAGAAAAAAATGTTTTAGATCAGGATAAATAATATATTGAGGAAAATAGCTTGGAATATATATATATATATATATATATGTATTACAATAAATTTTGGCAGAATATTCATTAAAAAAATGAGATATTCAGTTTAATTTTTCAAAATAACAATGGTTGACTCAAAAAACACCATTTTAAATCAATCGTATTAGGGATAGAAGATTTAAAATATACTTTATAAAATTAAAGACCAAACTGAAATATTGTATAAAGTTAAATAGCTAAAAGCTCATTTTTACACATAGTTAAAGGATTATATATAAAGGTGATTTTGATTCAGAGTTTTATATGAGAAAAAATGTTTTAGATCAGGATAAATAATATATTGAGGAAAATAGCTTGGAATATATATATATATATATATATGTATTACAATAAATTTTGGCAGAATATTCATTAAAAAAATGAGATATTCAGTTTAATTTTTCAAAATAACAATGGTTGACTCAAAAAACACCATTTTAAATCAATCGTATTAGGGATAGAAGATTTAAAATATACTTTATAAAATTAAAGACCAAACTGAAATATTGTATAAAGTTAAATAGCTAAAAGCTCATTTTTACACATAGTTAAAGGATTATATATAAAGTTGAATAATCAACGCCAAGATAAAATATAGAATCATATTTTAAAATAAACTGTGTTCTTTCGTTTTCTGTTGCAATATGTGAATTTCATGTCTCCATGTGTGTGTGTGTGGACACAGTAATTAATGAGCTAACAATAACCAAAAGATAAGACAGCTTTAAGCATATGGAGCTGAAAGTAGAAGATGGGAAGCGTTTTGGGGGAGAGAATCAGAAGAAACTGAAGATCAGGTAAGAGCTGTGGAAATTGAGAATAATAAGGAGGAGGCCATTAATGAATCTGGTTTGTCAAATGAAGAGTTGAAGGCTTCATCTTCAAACACTGAAGGCTAAACTCTGGAAAAAAGACGCTGATCTTTAAGCATATGATCAAGAGATAAAGTTGTCGTTGGTCATCAGTCCCTATCATAAGGGTCTCCTTCACCCACCTCTCGCTATCAATGACGAATATGGTTCGAAGAATCATCACCAGAACAATCTGAACATTGGCCGTAATAATAGTAATTTTAGGGTTCCGATTTCTGAACATAATTAGTTCATACTACAATGGGCTTGAAAGTTTTTTCACCAGATATTCATGGAGGAATAACTCTAGGATAGTATGACTATATATGATTGGAGAATTAATGTTAGGTTGAAGGAGGGTACGAGTGTGTCCATGTTTCAGAGGCCTCCTCATTGATATAGCTCTCTTGTAATGGCATCTGGTGGCTTAGTTATAATAAAGATTAGTTCTTTAGAAAGTGTCTTATAATAAAAATCATAATGATACATGAGATACTCAAAATGGCCACTTGAACACTAGGTTTTGACTCTAAATTCGTGTGAATAAAGCAAACTAGTGTTGTAGGTTTTATTTTCTTTACTTGCTTGTTGTTTGTAACCTTTTGTTTTTTTTTTTACAGTATAATTGCTCTATTTATAAAAATATACACGTCTCTAACTTTGATCGGGCAAATAAATATTTTGTTATTTTGATTTATTAGTATTTTTGGTAATTTATTACTCCATACGGAGAGACAATAGAGAGGTTTGCTTTCATTATAAATATAACAATTTAATCCACTTTTCCCCTCAAAATTCCCTTATTGATTTATAATTTGATCGATAAGTAGTTCAAAATCGAATTTATGTCACTTTTTTGCCACTTTAGTTAGGCAAATAATACCAACTAAATTAATTAACTATTATTTTGAAGTGGGGAAAACCATTTTTCTTCAAATGACAATGATAATATAATATTTAGCATCGGTTTTGAGTAGTTTTTTTTTTTGTAGATCCTTCAATATAACTTTACAGCGTACGATGCTTCAATATAACGTTGCAAATACCATCAACTTTATGTTCTCAACAGTATGGTACGTAGTTTGTTTCATGTTAATTAACAAAAATAATTTTTTCATTGTTGCTTATATTTTTTGACTTCAAAATTTAAGATTATTTTATTTTTATTCTTATTAGATATCTTTAGTTCTAGTAAATATCAAACGAAAAAACATATGATACCAAAGATATTGTCTCTTTTCATATATTATATCAATTATAAATCAAGATATTTCATTCTATTGTTGTGTGTGTATTCTCATTGATACTCCCTTAATAGTCTTTAATTACACCCTACAAAATATGTAACCTTGGACAGTGACATAATCTAAATTATCCAATGAAATTCCCATTAAAATATATAGTCATCTATTTGTCCTTTCATTATGTTTAAAGGTGAAGTATTTCTGTTTTATATATTATGATAAATTTGTAATTATTGTCCAAAATTAAATATCTTAACTCGGGTTGAAATGAGTGGCAAGGGCTTTAATATCCCTCAAGTAAGTGATTGTGGATTCGATTATCAATTCGTTGTGCAAGGAGTAAGTTTAGTTAGAAGGGGTATGTTCTTTGCAGAATTTTTTTTTTTGAGAAAATTGCTATGAAATTTTATGGAAGCTATAGTAATTTTTCCTATTTTTTTTCCCTCCTTATTGGAGTGGAGGATACTTCTGTTTCCATAAGAAAAAAAATAGAAAATATTTTTTTTTGTTACAACTATTTATATTCAGTATTATATCGACTATTCTAGATTATTCAAGAATGATAAAGAGAATTGAGTTTTTTTTTTGCCATACGTGATACGACCTGTTGAAACATTAGGCCCTACCAGAAACCCACACACACTACGCATAGAAACGAGCTATTTCCATTAATCTCATAACCTGATATTTACATCAAAAGTGGGCTTAATAGAATAAGCTAACACTGGACCCCTTTTATAGAGCCCAGCAGAAATAAAAAACAATACAAGAAAGTCAAGAAGAACCATCTAAAGCAATTTGGGCTTAAACTAATTAACCCAAAAATACAAAAATGACCCTCCTATTTCTCACACGACCAAACAAAAATCAATAATAATATATAGAAATTAATAGTTCTGAAAATGATTGAATTGTTTATTTAATCAGGTAATATGCTGCTGGCCTGAAGTCAGACACTGTTTTACATAGTTCTTAACGTAACATGTCTTTTATTCTCTAAATCCTATCGCCTTGTTTGGATTCTTCAATTTTATTACTTGTCATAAATCCCACTCTAACGCATCTCCTTCTTTCCTCACAGATCCTCCTAATTTCTTGACCACTTCGTCGTCATCAACATTCTCCCTCTGCAAAATGTCTTCAAACGCATCGTTTGGCCATGTCTGAAACCGACCTCTCTCCCATATCTCACGTGATCTCACGTGTCACCACACCTTCTTCCCCGAAGGTTCCATCTTCAAACAATGTCACGAAGGTTAAACTCAGAAGAAAAACCAATGATCTTGATGGAGCATATGATCACGAGATATCATCTTCGGCCAGTCCTTATTACAAGGGTCTCCTTTATCAACCTATCGTTATCGACGACGAATATATTTCGCCGAATCATGATCATCATCAGAACCATGATCTGAACAGTGGCCATAGTAATTCTGGGGTTCCGGCGACTTCTGGATCTAGTCCATACTACAGAGGGCTTACAGATTTTTCACTGGTTATTCATGGAGGACGGCACCTACAATCGCATGATGATTATGGCTATGGAATTCATGACGTTGAAGCAGCGTACGAGTGTAATCCTTATTTCAGAGGCCTCCTCACTGATAGCTCTCTGGCTATGGCGATTCGTAAACCTGACGGAGGAGGAGGAGGAGCATCGTGTGGGCATGGTGGTGTTATGCTACCTTTTGGGTTCAGCATGAATTTATGCTTAGGTGGTAAGGATGATATTTTGAACGACATCACAGCTCAGATGGAGTCGGAAAGGCAGCGTACTTTATCGTCGTTATCGCCACCGGCGCCCATACCGTTAACGCAGCCTTCGTTACCACTATCAGCACCGCCCCCGTCTGTGATTCCATCCAAAGGTAATTTCTTTTCTTACCAGCATCCAAAGGTAATTTTGAATAGGGAAATCAAAGTTTTACATGAGAAAAATTGTTTTACATGAACAAAAATATTGAGAAAAATAAGGGTGAAAATATGTTTTGGATAAAGAAAGAGATTGAGAAAAAGAAGGGGAAATTATATGTTGTACACGCGCGGTTTTAAATGAACGAAAACCAATAAAATAATAATTTTTACCGTTAAAATTTTTTTTTAAAGTGAGAATTTTTATTGACCAGCTGCCAACTTTCCACAGCATACAATAACCCTCTTATAACTTTTTTTCTCTCTGTTCTTTTTTTGGTCGTACGAACTTTGATAGTACATGAAAGTATTGGAAATTTAAACAGTCAACCTTTAACAATTTTACACCACATTTATATTGCCATAAGAAGATGTGTCAGTTAACATGGGATACTACTATATTAATATTTTAAAATCATGTACTGTATTCATTTCTTACATTAAAGTACTAATTAAGTCCAAAACCCATCGTTTAAATATGTGCCTTCCAAAAAACATCAAAGTTTTCTTTCAACTTTGCTCCCCATAATTTAGTATATAAACATAAAACTAAACGAATATATATATATATATATATATATAAAGATGTATTATCAACACCAAGATAGATTGCAGAATCATATTTTAAAACAAACTTTATCACTTAAAAGGTCTAATTAGCTTTTCATTTGCTGTTTCAATATGAGAATTCCACGTCTCCTAACACACACACACGCACGCACACACTCTATCTATACTAATTAACTAACTAATAATGATAACCAAAAGGGACGACTTCTTTAAGTACGGAGCTGAAAGTAGAAGATGGGAAGCCTATGGGCGGAGGAGAATCAGAAGAAACTGCCCATGAGGAAAAAGCTGTGGATATTAAGAATAATAAGGAGGAGGCCATGAATGAATCTGGTTTACCAAATGAGGAGGTAATAAGGAAGAAGAAGTCCTTGAGAGAGAGTGTTTCCAATATTTCTGAACAAACAGCGTCTGCATCATCATCATCATCAGAATCTGAATCTTCAAGTAATAAAGATGTTCCCCAGGAGATTAAAGTAGAAGAAGAAGAAGAAGGAAGCTTGAAAGAATATGTGTGGGCTAACAAGTATCAACCCAAGGCATTGCAACAATTTATCTGCCACAAACAGATTGTTTCTCAGCTATTAACGATGGTGAGATATAATATCACCTTTACTTCTTTCTTTTTTTTTTTGAATTTCACAATCCATTTGTTTATCCAACTAGTCTAAGTCCTTGCATAAGCTTATCAGAAAGTTACAAATTCTTCTTCATAGATTTGCACTAAAATGGAATCCCGAATTTCACTCTACTCATCACACCCACACACATCGAGTTTTAATTGCAGGTTAAGTAATTTTTAACTGTCGTTTTTATTTTATTTTAATTCAATGTTTTGATTTTCATCCAAAATCCATAAATGGTCTTTCTACTAAATTTTGTGGATCAATTTTATAATGATACTTTAATTTGGATGTAAAATGTTCCCCTTCCCTTGTTTTTTCCCCAATTTGCATGATTCCTATTATATCATAAAGTTTCTAAAACAAACATTTATGTAAAACAAGTCCCAACCGTGGTATATTAAGTTTCTATTAAGGTAAAAGCTAATTTAAGCAGACAAATAATTTAATCAACCTAAGATCAACATGTGAATGATATTGGTTTTGATGAACATGCAGGTAAAAGAGGGATCTTCTTGTGACCATTTTATTTTTGAAGGACCACCTGGTGTAGGAAAAAGAACCATGATACGAGCTCTACTTCGAGAGGTCTTTGGCAACGACGTTGTTAAGGTAGGTATATAACTATAAACTTTAAAAAGAAAATGAGATATAATTAGGCTCCTAATAAATTTTATTATATATACTTATATATGATATTAAACAAAATATTGTCAATCATAATGTGTGCTTATCACAGTTAGTTGTTGTTGTTTTTTTATATTCGTCAACTATGAAATTTTGATGTTGCTACTTCATTGAAATTTGCGTCTGTTTACAGGTGACTGAGGAATATAGAACAGTTTTATTAAAGGTAATGCTTTAATGCTTAACTATTAAAGAACTCTCATAAGTAGCTTACTTTATATGTACGAGTGATCATTTCAAAGTTTTGACTCTTAAGGTACTCTCAAATTAATATATCAAGTAATTTAAAGAGATCAATTCGTAATATCAACAAATAAAGCAAGGAGACGATGAGACTTGTAGCGAGGTTTTGTTGATAAAAATTTTAAAATGAATTAGATGAACTTTTTTCCTGTTTATTGTACGTATACCAAGTATGACAAATGTACCATATTGTTGATATTCTGTATATACACACTCTTTCCTTCCGATCCTAAATGTAAGAATTAGATAACTAATTTGTAAATATTAAGAAAATTTAGTGAAGTCATTTGTAAAAAAATGTATGTTAGTTTTTCTAGAAGACTATTCTAATCAACATGAAGAGTTTAGAAGGAAAAATTGGAATAAATTTGGGAGACGGTTGATTGTGGAGGTCTCAAATTATGCGTTAATTAAAGCACATGCCTCTACTTGCTCTTACGTTTAGGATCAGAGGGAATCGTATGATTTGATTTGCTGTATATTTGTATGTATGTATGAATGTGTGTGTATACGTATTAAAAGAATGATTAAGTGAATTGACAGGGAGAGGTGATAGGAAGCATCCAAGTGCCAATAATAAAATCAGGACATCATATGGAAGTCAATATCTCGCAAACAAAAGGCTATGAAGAGCATGTGGTTGCTTATTTATTACGAGAAACTTACGACAAGACCATCAACACTTCAATGCCTTGCGTGCCAGAAAACTGCCAAGGTAATTAATTTATCTGTTTTAAATTTCAGCTAAGACATATTGAGAATTCCTCTTGCAATTAATATTAATATCCAAGTGTTCATATGGTTGTTTTCTTATGTTTTGGAAGCCCTAATAATATACGAGGCAGAGACACTATCAACAGAATCGTTGTTGTACATAAAGTGGATGATTGGAAGATATAATAAAGGTTGCAATAAAGTCTTCTTTTGCTGCTCTGATGGATCCAAGCTCCAAACTCTCAAACCTCTCTGCAAAACCTTTCGTCTTTCTCCTCCTTCCACTCAAGAGGTCAGAGACTTTCTCTTTATTATTATTATTATTAGTCTTTGCTCTAAACCAGATTTGGTTGATTGGCTTCGAGATATTAAGCGTTAATTTGACGAAGTTAAGAATATTTTGTACTTGAAGTAAACAGATTGTTGAGGTTTTGAAATACATAGGGAAAGAAGAAAGGAAAGAATTGCCCCTTGAATTCCTTACCAAGGTTGTTGAGAAGTCAAAGAACAATCTTCGTCAGGCCATTCGTTCTTTGGAGGCCACTTGCCAGAACAAGTGAGATTTATTTATTTATTCAATATAAATGCCCATAAAATTCTTCATTAAATTAATTCGCCAATCCTTCTTATATATATATATATATGGTCTTTGGTCCTTAATATAAAACCCAATTGATTAATTTAGAGAGATTAAGAAAGTTACTAAATCACTTAATTATAATATATGTTACATGATGTCTCTAAAATACTTACGTATATTAGATGATATATCCACTTATAAGTGTAACAAATTAGTTTAGAGGAAAATAGATACTATAAGGTAATTTATTAATTTTGTTAACCTTTTGAAATAAGTCAATTGGGTCTCATATTAAGAACTAGAAGTAGTATAATATATGTGATTGAAGCATTTAGTAGCTAGACATAATTTAGTGATGAGGTATTTAATTTGGTGGTAATTTATGGTAATTTGTCTACTATGTCTTCTCATCGAATAATAACTATTTCGTTTGCAGGGATTCAATCAAAGATGACGAGCTAATTTTAACAGGATGGGAAGATGACATCTCAAATATTGCTAAGAGTATACTTAAAGAGCAAAGTCCAAACAGTAAGTGATGCATTTGTGTGTGTGTGTATAACTGAGCATATTTCTTCATGTCTTACTTGTTGTCTGGTATAAGTTCTATTATTTATAATTTACTCATTCAATTCTTAATAGAAGACCTAATTGATAAGTTAATTTTGGTCTCGAATGTAAGACTTATTTATCGTATTTATTAATTTTTTCTAGATTATTTTTATGAATATTCCCTCAACCATAATCAAGTAGAAAAGAGAGGGAGAATATTAAGGAAGATGATTATGAAATTATAGAAAAAAAGATGTCATATTTTTTATAATTAACTAACTTGCCTAGCTTTCTTAATCTAATCAAATTAGTTAAATATGTGTTACATTAAGGATAGGATGGGTAGTAACTATTTTTATATTTACTATTTGTTCATATATATGTTTCAATTATGGTTTGAATCATGCGCGCACACGAAAGATATCTAATTATTTTATAATAAAAAAGAAACTAATAACATTATTGATGTAATTTACTTTCAATAGGCTATACATGATTCATGTGAAGCTCGAAAGTCTCATGATTCACAAGGTTTCACCTGACTTTGTTTACAAGGCAAGTGCACATTCAATTTATGTTTATGTATATGGTTTTTAATGATTTTCTCTTCAAATATTGAGGATGATATATTTGTTGATACAGTACTTGGTATCAGAGCTAAAATCTCTGGTGGATGAATCACTAAGACCAGGGCTTGAAAAACTCAAGAAGGAGTACAAACATGTACAAAAACTCTCTATTTAATTTCGAGAATAAGTGATTATATGAATTCGTTTTCGTAATAAATTTATACCAGGATAAATATATTACGCAAAACTACTTTTTT